ATTTTTGGTGTCTGTTTTAGTATTATGTAATGTAATGTAAATGTAATTGATATATAATAAATAATATGTACTCCGTAGGATATACAAAGTAAAAGATATAGAATAATATCTTATGCAATAAAACAAATGGAAAATATGTGAATATTTTTTTTAGGAAGTAAATCACAATTATATGATTTAGTGAATATTTTTTTAAGGTTATGAATCACAATTATTTAAAGTGAATATTTTTTATAAGGAAGTGAATAAAAAAAATATTATGGAGGGAAATAAACACCATCAAGAAGTGACACATGTTATTCTTGATGTATGTTTTACTATTATGTTATTAATTTCTGTATTTACTTCTAATTTACCAATATCACATGTTCCTTTATTATATCCAGGGTATATTCTTTTACCAACTAATCCACAACATGTAATTCACCTTTTCACTTACTCTCACTTACTGTCCATGTTTATCTTACACCAACCACATTTATTTTTACACTCTATATTAAGGTTGTCAAACGGGTCGTAACTATTCAGTTCATGTTTGTGTCAATATTAAATGGGTTGATAAACCCTTAATTCAAATCTAAACGGGTTGAAAATCCTTAACCCAAACTTAATCCGTTTACTAAACGGGCTACCGGGAAACCTTTTATCCATTTGTCTTTATAAATTCATGCAGTACATTATATGAAGTATATTTTAGTACATTATACACTAATTAATATTCATATTAAAAATTAAAAGAAACGTATTTCATTCAAAAAAAAAAAACCTACAGTAAGAGGTTAGGGTACGGTAAAGAAAGAGTTGTGCGATAATTGAAAGTGGGTGATTAAGGCCTTGTTCTTTTGAGCTTCTGCGCAGAGCAGAGTAGAGTAGAGTAGGGCAAAGTAGAGCAGAACAGATTTCAGCAGAGCTGGGCAAAATATAGCATATTATTATTATTATTATTATTATTATTATTATTATTATTATTATTATTATTATTATCGCATTATTATTATTAGTATTATTATTGTTATTATTATTATTATTATTATTATCGCATTATTATTATTATTATTGTTATTATTATTATTATTATTATTATTATTATTATTAGTACTATTAATACTATTTTTAATATTATTATTATTACCATTATTTTTATTATTAATATTATTATTATTATTATTATTATCGCATTATTTTTTTTATTATTATCATTATTATTATTATTACTATTATTATTATTATTATTGTTATTATTATTATTTGATTTTTTTAGATTTTTTACTCTTTTTATAACATTAGAAAATGTGTTAAATAATATAAAATATTGATTATATATTAAATATTAGTTATTATTATCAATTAATATTATATATTAATTATTATTATTATTATTATTATTATTATCTTAAAAACAAACAAAGTCATACAACCTACAATAAATTAGTGGGAAGCCGAGATACAAGCTGGGCCCCCACTCCTCTAGCTATAGCAAAGCCTACCCAAGTGAAGATATGAGCTGCCGCACGAGCCCCAATGTCTTGCGTCGTCGAGAACCTCTGAACCCGCTTCAGCAACGCAACAACCTCCTTCTCTAATTCCCCAAGCGAAGAAAAGGAGAAGGGAATGAAAACATATCCAATGATCCGACACCTAGCTTCATACTTCACCCGCTTCCGATGAGCCACATCGGCCACAACCCGTCCAAGAACAAAGTCAGATAGCCCTGTATGTGTCAAAGGACAATACCCTGTTAAGTCCACACAAACATCACGACCACGATCCCATGAATAAAGTAACACATCAGCAAGTCTGAGTGCCCCTTCATTCCCTCCAGACAACCCTATGTCAACCTCCTTTCTTGCTGAAATCCCAGATTTGTAGCAAATATCAACAAGAGTATCCCGGACAGAGCAAATATTAATATTATTATTATTATTGTAAAATATTAATTATTATTATCTATAAATATTAGTTATTATTATTAAATATTAATAATAATAATTATTTTTTTTATTAAATATTATTTATTATTATTATTGTTGTTAATTATTATTTTTAAGCAGAGTAAAGCAGAGCAGATTTCAATAGAACAGAGCATATTCCAGCATAGCAGAGCAAGACAGAGCAGAGCGGAACAACTCAAAAGAACAGGGCCTAAGAGAAAGGTTTTTTTTTTTTTTTTTTTTTTTTTTTTTTTTTTTTTTTTTTTTTTAAATTTCAAACCATATAATTTTGATGTAATGGACTAATGGTGGATTGATGGCTATATCTTCACTTTTTATTCCATAGATCGCGTGTTCAAAACTTTGTAGTAACTAATGTTCATGTCATCTTTTAAGTATATGCCATAGTGGTTAAAAATGTTCCTAATACATAATAAAATTGACATTAAGAAGTTTGGAACATGTTAATTAACTAATATAAATTAGGAACCATTTTTAATATATAAAGTATAGATAAATATAAATACATATATATTTTATTAATATTAACTTTTATAGTGTTTGCTTATTGATAATTTGATACACTAGTCGTTAACACATGCATGTGCGTTGGCAAATTTGTCAACTAAAAAACACAAATGAAGTATTGTTTTCATATGATGAACTTTTACTGTACCAATGTATAATTCATATTAATGGTCATATTGTGTTAATTATTTTAAAACAGATGAAAAATTTGTATTAATTTATTGTAGAAGTAGATGTGAATTATTGAAATAGTAGAGCTAGAGATGTAATATTTTATTACATCTCTCTACTATTTCAATAATTCACATCTAATTGTCTCCACAAAACCCCTTACTTTCTTCTCTCTCCTCAAACTTATACCCTATGTTAGCACCAAAATTTTGTTAATTTTTAGGTGTTAAATATATTTAAATTAGAAGATAATATCAAAAAATATTAGATATTATCTTTATAATCTCTTAGATCATTATGTTATAATTATCTTGTAATCTACGACTCTCTATATAAAGAGGTCGTCATTTCAAGGGTTTAATTAGGCTCAGATGAAATAAGATAAGTCACAAAGACCCATCTCCTCCCTACTACCAAACATTGTAGGTATAGTATGGATTAAGTTGACAAGGCCCTGTACCATAAACAAATATAAAAACTAAACCTTAACCCTTTAGAGAGAGGTTTCAAGAAAAATCTACGAGAGTTATATTCCATAAATCATCAAATGAAAGAATTATTTCCGTATATTTTCTTCCCTCTTTATTTGTATATTGCAGATCGAATTATTATGGTTAACACCCCACTACCTAATATTTTAATAAATTCAACTAATTTTTCTAAAACTCCATGAAAGTCAAAATGTTTCATTTATTTAAACACGGAAGGAGTAGTATAGATACAATGAGACGAATCTAACAAGACCCTAGATGACTATATATATCATCTCTTGTTGATTAATGGGAATTTATAGTTAATTTTTTTAAAGTTTGACAACTTTATTGGCAATAGGGCAAAAAAATAGAGATAGAGGGATTATAAAGTAAGACAAATCTAATAGTATCTCACATATCTATAGAAAGTATCAATAACATAATACTATACACAGACATCAGCAATGACGCGTGTCACTTCCTGGTGCTATTTTTTCCCTCCAAAACTCCTCCTCCCTTTTTAGAAAAAATCTTTTAATTTTGGAATATTTGTTTAATAGAACTATATAATATGTTATTCCTAATATTATATATTATCTTTATAATAATTGTAATCTTTTTTTTATTTTGTGCTCTATTTACTATAAATAATTACATTATATTTTGAGACTTTTTAATTAAGGGAGAATAAGCTATAACTTAGAAGGTTGAAATATAGTGGAGAGTATAAAATAATGGAGCCAAAAATACAATATTAACATTTAAATAACCCTTATATAATTGTACAATAGTGGGGCTCATTGGAACAAAAAAAACATTTCTATTCATGGTAATAATTTGAAATCTTATGAAATAATAAGAATTGAGTTAGTTTTCTATTAAATATTTCTGTAATAATTTTACCAACTCATAACTTTTTTTTTCCTTCAAAAAAACTATTAACTATTACTAAAACAGGTCATGCTTACATCGATCATTTTGGACATATATCATGTTATCATAAAAAAAATTCCGCTAATACAAATATATGATGTCAGCTTTATCAAGTTTTTATTTTTTATTTTTTATGTATATATATAATTATTCTACTTAGCTTATTTTTTTGAAGTACATTGTATAGTTTTATTGGGAATAACACGCATCATTAATATTATAATGTATACTATTTTTAAATATTTTCAGCACAACTAACCAAAAATAATATATATTTTTTTCTCAATTGTAGTTTAAATAATTTTTGCCTTATTATTTCATCTTTTTTATATACATTGTATTTGTTTATTCCACATGAGTTGCTTTATTTTTATATTATATCACAAATTAATTAGGAAAAATAAAATTATAATCACTGTGCATCGCACGAGCACTAACTTAGTATTTTCATATTTCATAGTAATGAGAATATTTGGTCAAAATTTATATGTTTGACCATAAAAAAAAAAAATCAAAATATGAACATCTTTTGGGAAGAAGTAGCAATATAATGTTTTCTTCCAAACAAAAACTGCTTAACTTTGTGAATTACTCCCTACATTTTTTTTAGGGATTACTCCCTACATTTTTAATGCATCACTAACCTAGGGACCTATTCAATATTCCTGTAATTTTGTTTTATAAAGTTATATGATACATGTCATATAAAGAATAAAAAATTAGTAGTATGATTTATGAAAATCATAATTATTAAGAAAACTAACAATAAAAAGGTGAAATATATTTTTTCTAGTTTCTTTTTTGTTTTTATTTTTTTTTGATTTTTTGTTATAAAAAAAAATTGAAAACAATAACAAACAAGCTCTAAATTGGTTTTTTTTTAAGTGTCACTTTCTTTTTTGAACATATTTTTTTATTATTATCTCTCTCCCTATTATTATTATTATTATTATCATTATTATTATTATTATTCATCTCTTTCACATATACTATATTTTTTTTGACTATTTATTACACTATTACCCCGTTCTCGTTTCTATTATTTTTTTTTTTAATTCACGATAAATTAGAGGTGTTCGAAGGTTAGGCTGGGTCGGGCTGGGCTAAGGCCAAAAATCCAACCCAGTTGGCTGTGTAGGGTCAGACCAAAGGTCGGGCAAAAAATTTTGCCCAAAACCTTCAAAATTAAATTGGGTTAAGCGGGCTTTTTGGATTTTTTTTCAGGCCGGTCTATAAAATTAACTAAAAAGCTTAGAAATTCATGCTCAAAGGCCGCGAAAAGTTTAAGAAAAAATCAAGTCAGGCAGGGCCTGACTCGACTTCGTTGATAATTTCTTCCCATAACCAGCACAAAATCGGGCCAGGCCGGACTTAACTTGATCAACTTTACGATAAATCCCACTTACGCAACTACTCTAGATACAATTTGTTAGAACTATGTGTCAATCAAATCAACGCACTTGTTTTAAATCGGGAAGAGCCCTTTGAAACAGAAAAAATAGTTGTATTAAAAGGTGTAATAAGGATATTACTTAAAAGAACACCCTTCTGGCCTTCTCCCTAAATTAGGAAAAAAGAAAGTCCTAATAACAGAGTGAGCTACAAAGCTACAGCATACCTTCGATAACATACCCTCGATTCTACTCTTCAAATGAAAAGTAGTCACCATATATTAAAGAATAAAGTAACTTATCAATAATACAAGTTGGTATTTCGGTTACTTATACTATGACGCAAAGTATTAAACACCAAATTATTTTATACCAACAAAAAAAAAACATCAGTCAACCTTAACAAACCCAATAATAAAAAATAAATAAGAAATTTAACAGAAAATAAAAAATATAATAATAAGGTCGAAAAGTCCAATATAGAAATTAAATTAGTGAATGATTCTCACATTCCCACTACCACCTTCTCAAAACATTCATTTTTTTTGAACTTATAAATACTTAATTATCAACCCATCCTCTAATAAACATCCCCTGTTTCTTTCTCTCTCTGTTTCCAACATTTTTGTCTCTCTGTTTTTTCCCACATTTATATTTAATCACCCCTTTTTAACAAAAAATAGGTAACCCTCTAAACCCAACGAATATAACATTGCCATTTTCATCAAGGTTTTTCAATACATGCAACATTTATATATCGGGATTAGATTTTGATATCCCAAGCCTAAGTGAACGGTACAATTCAGGTAATTATTTCCAAAACCGACATACATGAGCTAGGACTTTTCTATTGAGAACATTAATTAAGAAAATCGATTATATATTACATGCAGGAACTTACAAAGTTAAGAGAAGAAGAAGATGAATTATTTGAGTTTAGCTTTAATTATTACAATAATGGCAATGGAGTTGTTCTTGGTCTCTCATTGTTATGCCAGAAGAACCCAGTTAAGTTCTTATCCTTATATTCTTTTTTTTATCATAATTATCTCTGTAACACACACATTATATTATACATTAATCAAATTAATTTACCAACTTCTAATAAGTGCTTGTGTGATTAAGCTTTGTAATTATTGTTTATTACTAAATTAAACTCTAAAGAATATGAGATGTTTTATGTATTTTTTTTTTTTTTTATTGGGTTATTTTATTAATAATGATGAAGAATGAATGGAAAAAAGTTCACGGGGAGAAGAGAGAGAAAGAGACAAAAAGAAGAAAGTAAAGGTTGAGAGAGGTTTATATAGGATATTGGTTATGACGAGGGAATTAGAATTTTAGATATACATGTTCCTAGAATACAAAGGCCTCATGTCTACAATATTGTACAATTTTATTTCCCTCGTTTATTTTTCTTCTTTTTTGTTTTTGTTTGTGTTCGTTCTTGTTTTTTTAATATTTTCTTTATTACTTACAAAATATATATATATATATAGATATATATATATATATATATATATATATATATATATATATATATATGGTTTTTTTTTTTCGGAGTATACATGATTTTTGGTTTATACATGCAGACGTAGAATACTCCATAAATTATTGGATAATACACCCTCCATCCTGAAATATTGAGTAATAGTTTCCTACGAGTATTCTATTTTTTTTTTAACTAACTAACTATTTGGTTTGATGTGTTTATAACTTTATTCTACTACTTATATTTTACTTTGTAATATTTTTGGCCAAACACCATTTTATCACCATATTACCTCTTTTACACTGTAATATTTTTATTCACATACTTTTTCTTACTTTATACTTCGTATACTTTTTTAGTTTTTAATATTTATTTTCCCTCGTATTTCTCTCCCTTTTATCATATTCTTAATTTTTCTATACGTAGTACATTCATATTTTCTATTAAAAACAAGACTCATCAAAAGTGTATAGAGCTGAAGAAAAAATAAAATGGAGTGATATTTGGTGATTATTTTTAGGAGATTTTATCACATTTTCTTGTACTTCGTAGAATAGAAATATATCCAATATACATGTCCCCACAAACTAAACAACGATAGAGGGGATCAGGCAAAAATGAGAGAACTTCTACTATGTACTTTTCCTTCTTTAAGATAAAGAGAAGGATCCTAATCATTCCTCAACTCTCAAGGTTTTTTTGATATAGTATTTACGAGTCAGATAATGTAAAAGTGAGGAGAAACGATACTCTTAGAGTGTCCCTAGGAAAAAAAGAATTCTCAACCTCTTGGTTAATAGGTACCATCTTTCCCACTAAATCAAGCTATGCTTGATATTAATACAACTACATAGGCTAGACTAATGTGACGGTAAATATTGAAAGAAGAAATAAGTATTCGTACCAAATATGTTAATATGTATCTCTTCAATTTATAATGTAGATTGACTTGATGTTTGACTTAATTTGTATTTTAATACTCTGTAAATACTTATATTATTACATGAGGTTAAATTAGTAATATTGATCGATGACCATGTTACCAAGTACTTAAATATTGACTTTCAATTTTGTCAAAAAAGGAAAAAAAAAAAAGGACTTCTAATAATGTCCACTAGCTTAGCATAATAACACGTTTTATATTTCACAATCAAAATGGAAACTATTGTGGTTTAGTGTGTGTTTCCTTGAACTTAGTTTGCCTTTGTAAAGAACAATTTACTCTCTCCGTCCTAATATATGGTTCTTATTTATGTTTTTTCACAGTATTTTAGAAATGAGAGGTAAAAGTGGATGAACTACATAAAAAAAGCTGAAAAGTACAATTATAGACAAAAGTTAGAGAGGAAAAAGTGAATGAAGTACATAAAAAAAAGGTGAAAAGTACAATTATAGACAAAAGTCAGAGAGACCAAGTGGAAAAAAGTACAAGGCAAGTGGAAAATTTAAGGGTAATTGAGAAAGTACAATGAATAAAGTTAAAAAAAATTGAGGGTATAATGGTCTTTACATATTATCCAAAAATAGGAACAGACACAATATTTTAAATATCATAAAAAGGGAAACAGAAACTATATTATGGGACGAAGAGAGTATTAGATTTCATATAAAATAATTTTTAATGATTATAATTAATTCTAATAAGCTCACATAAGTAGAGCTGTGCGCAATAATTTATACTACTTATTTCAAACAAAGTAATTATGAATAGTTTAGAAAATAAATGCGAAATAAGTTGAATAGAACATTGTTTTACTAATCATAAAAGTGAATTGTAAAAGTTAAAAAGAGAATTGCATCAAAGAAAAAATATATTAAAACGAGAAGGAGTATTTATTATAAGGCTCTGTTTAGTTCACCTTAAAAAGAAAATAATATTCAGTCTAAATAATTATTTCAGTTCAGCAAAATTAATTTCAGTTTAGTAAAAATAGTATCTCTAAAGAAGAAATATAATAGAGAATCTGGTAGAAATAATTTTAGTTCAGCAAAATTAATTTCAGTTCAGTAAAAATAATTTAAGTTCAGCAAAAATAATTTCAATTTAGTAAAATTAATTTCAAAGCAAAAATAAGGTGAAGTGATCAGGGCCTAACTATCAGCCTTGCTGTCAAAAAAAAAAAAAAAAAAAAAAAGGTGAAGTGATCAGGGCCTAACTATCAGCCTTCAAATTGTTCCGTATAAATACATGTATAATTAGAAATAAGTACTTCGTATTTATGTTACCTTTTCTCTCACAAGATCCGGAAACATCAACTTTTTTTTTTTCTCCCCAAAAGAAAAAGAGTCTTGCTTTGCATGTTTGATGGGGCTTTTGATTGGGATTATTGGCAGTTGTAAAGCAATAATAATGTAAAAATGCTGTATGTAAAATTACTACTCTCTTAAGAGATACCTCTTAGCTTTCTTTAAATGAAATAAAATACAACATCGATGGTCACATATAAGGAGATAAAATTGAAAATATTGAATATAAATCAAACGTTAATAACGCTTAATAAAATATAATTTTGTCATGCATTTATAATCTAATACTTCCTCTGCTCCACAAATATTGCAACAACGACGAAATTACGCATTCCAAAGCACATTTTATATGCTAAATATTTATAATTATATAAGATTAAAAATTATAAAAAGTTGATATTGTGAAAGTATATTACGAGACAAATCTAACAAGACCCCACATGACTATATTTTGCTTTACGTATAAATCATAATATGTGGTCAAACAAGCGTGATGAATAGTGTAAAAGTTCAGTTGTTGCAATATTACTAGAACAAAGGAAGTATAAATTAAGGTTTTTTTTTTTTTTTTTTTTTTTTTTTTTTTTTTTTTTAATGCTTTATATATAGCCGCCTTGTCATAATCAATTTTAAAAGGGAATTTATTGTATATATCTTGTATTGCCTACTTTATTCTCTTCACGTAATATTTACTGTAATTAAATTATTTTTGTTGAAATTATATTATTTTATTAAAATTAAATTATTTATGCTAAAATTAAATTATTTTTACTGATTAATTTATTTCTTCTTATTCAATATTATATTTGTTATTTAAAGTTACTGATTTTTACTAATTAAAATTATTTTGAACTAAATTAATTAAAATTATTTTTGTTCTTTGAAGCTTGTTCATCTTTAATTTAACAAAAAAAAAAAAAAGCGAGTGAGTCATGGATTAACGGAGACAGAGTTAGATGATAAATCAAAGGTTAATTATTATTATTATTATTATTATTATTATTTGATTTTTGAGATAGAATAATACAATGCACTATAGCCAATTCCAACTTATCAAAACAATACACCACCAACAAATAATTCAATCTAAAAAAGTGAATGATGGATATAGCATATGTAATATGTCACATCAATAGTAAACATTCTCATATATTAATACGGTAATTTAATTAAACTAGAATCGTGACAACTAGATTCAGACAATATTACAGAGTACTCCATACTAAATTTGTGACATGGCAACAAAGTCATGCATATAATTTAGCTCTTACAAATGAACCAAGTGTAACTTCCGTGATATGCGCCAGTCTTACCCAGCTAAGCAATTGAATCATTTTGTACCAGTAAATCGGTATAATGCAGATCTTAATGAAGCTGGTATTCTAACAACTTGTTTATATTGATAAAAAGATTAGTGATGCCCATCATTACAAGACCAATATGTCTATTTGTTTTTCTTTTTTATTTTAAAAATTCTCACTTTGTTTAAATATGACTTTGGTACATGTTTAAAAAGTCAAAACAAATTTTTATCTTACCATCGTGATTTTAATAAAAAAAAGCCATAAAGGTTATTTTTGTTCAATAAGAACAAAATAAGATGAAGAAAGTTTTAAAAACTAAAGGAAATAGAGACTTCAAAACAAAATTATGCAAAAGTTGGTGTCTTTAACCTCAATAATTTCACTTATGCATCACAATTATTTAAAATCAAGTTTCCATAAATATATGAAACATATGAAGTACTAAATTAGAACGTTGCAATAGTCAAAATGATTAGTTGCCCTGGATTTAGAAACTAAGAAGCACATAATGTACAAATGTATATCACATTATTGTTACCAATGTATCAAGTGTTCAGATTAGTTGGTAAAGTGTATGTATCTCAAGATTTGGGAATGCAACAATACTTGTTACGAGAAGTTTCCACATAATTGAAATATGATGACCCAACTCGAATTTAGATTAGTTAGAGTCTAGTAGATTTTTTAATCATCGAAAAAAAAAAAAAAATCTCATTATTGATTATTGCTGGATTAAATGCTCTACTAACAATTTTAGTAGTTGTAACTTTGACAAAACACTAAAACACTTTCCTGGATTCTATTAAAGAGTTCCATTCTCATTTAAAACATGAAAAGGTGAAATTGGTTTGAATAATTTTTTCCTAGATTGACCACAAGCAGTTCAACAACTTCAATGAATTAAGAAGAATTTGAAAGGCTTTTAGTCTCCACCATTAATTATGCCAAACTTTATGGCATAACTTTGCATTATATTTTCCACTTAAGTGCAACATTAGGTTATTTGGATCCAAAGGAATGAAACAGTTTTGAACTTAATTTTATTATCAATGAAAAGTATCTTATGGAATCCAATTCCAAACTTATTCAATTCAACTTTGTGTAGCTCATTTCTAGAAATGTTAGAAAGAAAGGGAAGGTAAACAAAGGGTGAAAAAAGAGAACAACTCAGCATTTCTTGTTTAATTATTATAATAGAATGTTATTTTCTTACCCTTAGAAAAAGTTTTTCAACCCCGGGTTTCATTTTTTTATTCTCCTAGAATTCAAATTGTGGAAAATGAAAAAACAATATTCTTAGTGGTTTTTTTACATGAGAAAAAAATTAAAGTAAAAACACAATCTCAAAAAGAAAAATATACACTTATATAAACATTGTGTGGGTGGACTTTTGGTTATTTATTATTGTTATTTTTTTTGGCATTAGCTAAACAAGAGAAGAAATACAAAGTGGTAAGTTTGTTGGATATTTTATTGATATCAATACTCCGTATATAGAACGTCCAACAATTGTTTTGTCTTGTAGCACTCGTCTGCTGTTGTTAAAAAAATACTATTTTCAAATAATATTTAGAGAAGTCTAATTAGTTCCCTCATATACACTTTTTATTGGTGTACAAAATTTAATACAACGTACATCCAATAAAAATTAGTTTTTTCTTTATATTTAATAATATCTAATCTTGGATTAGATCATTAGATAATATGTCATCCCTCTAATTTGTGGGCGCAAGAAATTGGGGATGAGAGAAAGGGTCACTTTAGTTATATAGAGTGCGCTTAAAAAGAAGGACAAAATAGCTAAATATGTCCTTTTCAATTAATTAATTCATTTAGTGTCAAATAAAATTTGTTGCCACTTTTAAAGGGAGCTTGAATTATTTTGTTTAACATTTTATGGGCTGTTTGTCACACACTGAAATTGGCTTGCTTTTATACCGAAAGAAGTTCGTTATAAATAGAAGAAATAGATATAATAATATATTAATATTATGCAACTAGCTAGTTTATAGTATGTGGTGGGTGAGAACTAAGAAGGGAATTGTTTTGTGCTTATAGTTGAAGTCATCCCATTTACTATAAAGCCGGTGACTTTGCATTCATAGCCAAGTTATACGCATTATTATTCCATTATTATTTAACACTACTATATACGTATGCTTACCGTATTATACAGGCTATACGTGTGTTTAGGCGGTTATCGCCTTCTAATATATTCTTTCTTAGATTATATATGTCAAACCCGTTAGCTTATTGTTAGCTTTCTCTTCGAGATATGATTAACCTAATGGTAGTCGCGAAGTCACTAAGGTTTATAAGGTGTAAGCTGTTACTAAAAGTGAATGGAAGAACTATAAATGTATTTTTCTTCTCCCTTAAAAATATACTTGTACTTAGTAATTTTCATTCCTTACGGTAGTATGATTATAGAAACCTATGGTGGTATGTTATTGTAATCATGTAGTAATTAGAAAGTTAAGAGAGAGTCCGATTCCTTTAGAGATTTCTAATGAAAAACACCAACTTTAATTCATACTTCATATACTACTAAAAAACACTACTCGTACTTATTAAAGTTGAAATTAAAAACATTGATGATGTGGTTAAAAGTTTTGTGGTAATAGGATAGAAATTAAATATTAGCCCAAATAAATGAATTGTTAACCCTTGTGCATGCATACTCTTTTTTATCATTAATTGTAACAAATTTTAATTAATATTTTCAAACTTCATTCAACTATCATTAATTGTAACCATATACAATTAATATTTTTATTCTTTATTTATGAATTGCTAAGAAGTTTGATGAATAAAGTTTTTCATTGGGTAATCTAATGAACAAGACCAAATTCCCTCTTTTAACTAATTAATTCTACTGTAATGCAATAAATTTTTTTACCAATAATTATACTACTCCCTCTGTCTCCGAAACTTCGACCCTTATGGCCTAATTTTAGTCCCAAAATATTCATCCCATTTGCATTTTAATACCCTTTAATTTGCAATAATATTTGTGCAAAATTAGCTTCCCTATGCAAATTTTGCTTTTTCTATATACTTTTATTACTTTCTCTCTCTACTTTTTTGCAATTCCAATGTAAATTTCCATTTTCAATGTACTTTTCTTAGTTTTCCCATACACTCTTACACTTCCAATTTAACTTTTTAATACCGGCGAAATCAATCCAAAAGGGTCGAAGTTTCGGGGACGGAGAGGGAGTACTAATATTAAAAGCATTAGTAATAAATAGACAATAAATATATGCAAATAATGCAATACCGTAAAAGTCAAAAGTAGAAAGGAGACATAACAGTTGATAAACTAATCGGTCTAATCCCTCCCTTTTTCTTTAGTTTTACCAATTTATTGTGAATTCTGTGATACTAACAGCTTCTAAGTACTTGAGGTAGTTGAAAGTGTGTCATTTTGTTGGAAAATGATATATGCAAGCTCGCAAGTCAAGCATGTAGCTTTAAGGCGAGAAGATTAAAAATAAAGGATTAAGGATTAATGTATTTTTTTTTGAACATTAATGACATCAATTGACAATGATTTGTCATAAATTCCCAAACTTATACAGTACTCCATACTCCTAATCATTTTAGAAAAAATATACTCGTATATACTCCCTAATGATTATTATAAATCCGTAATAACCACAAGTTCACATTAGAAGTTGGGCGGTTGTTTTTTTTTTTTTTTTTTTTTTTTTTTTTTTTTTTGTTTCGTTTTTTTTTCTTTAATAAGTGTACAATTATTAAGACAAACATCTATCAAAATTGAATATAAACTTATTATTACACATAAAAAGAAAGTTTTTGCTACATACTACCTCCGTTTTGTATGCTTACATTGACTATACTAATACTACATATATAGATATTTAAAATGTTTAAATATTTTAAATTAATCTTCATGTATATTTTCATGTATATTAACCTTTTATACTTCACTTTTTAATTATGTATAATTACAACTATTAATAGTCAAAATTATGCATTAGTATGCGTGTCAGTCAAAATGTTGCTTATGAAATGAAGGGAATATGTATGAATTGAGAACTTGACGTGTTTGTATATGAAAATCCAAATCTATAGCATATTTTATTGTGTGATCAATTTCTAATTATATAATGAAGATTAGAATTCATGGAACTTTTTTTTTTTTTTTGAGGGAAGAATTCATGGAATTTTGAGAATCTTAATAGTCTTAAATTGTTAAAAACTCGTTCAGAATTTTGAATGTTAACATTTGTGCCATTATGCAATAGAAAAGTATTCAAATACAACCTAATGAGAAAACTAGGTATAACGATTAAAAAAGTGGAGTAAATAAAATCGGAATGCCTCAATTATTTTTAATTTGGAAACATTCTGTCAACATATATCGAATATTATTGGTCTTTAAAATTCACCGTGAGTAGAATTTAATTATTTTTAACCATGCTTCTCTCTTTTCTACCATCATTTCAGTCGTTTCACCTTTTTCATTGAACTTGTGCGTTGAAATTATTGGGAGTAGTCGAGTGACTTTTTTTGTTTCAATTGTGTTGGATGTGCAGTGGAAAACACGTAAATGATGACCATACATCTCCTGAAGTCTCCTTGATCGTCAAGGACAAAGAGGCAAGTCTTCTCATTATTTTTGTTGTGCATTTTTAATTTAGAGGCGTAAATTCAAATGTCCAGGTCGGGTTTGGGTTTGGGTTCGGATTTGGTGAGGCTGAGTCGGGTTGGGTCTGATTTCAAAATTGAGTCATGTTAAATTATTATGTCCGTATGAGTTGAAATCTGAATCGAATATTTTTTGGATCGGGTCAAGTTTTGACACTTCTACTTTTAATTTATATCATTTTATTTTATGCTATGCTTAATTGCCTACAAGCACCAAGTAGTATTGATCTAGTAATAAGGAGTGTACTCGTACTATCTTACAACTATAAATATGTAGGATCAATCCTCACTAGGGTTAGCTTGGGGGGTAGATGGAGATTTTTTTTACCCTTTCCTTCACTTCTAAGAAGTTTTGCCCACTAATCTAGATCGGGTTGTCATGTGAGAGCGAGAGCGAGGTTTTGATCCTATAGATTGCACTTTATACCTACTAAAAAAAATGGTCTACAAACACGCAATTCCTATCTTTCTTAATAAATGTATCATTTTAACTTTTACATTATTTACATAATAACTTTGACTATACATCATTACGGAATAATACACGGTAATTGCAATCGCATAAAAGGTTACACTTTCTTTGTTATAGATTGCACTTTATACCTGCTAAAAAATGATATGCAAACAACATGCAATCCTCCGTGTTTTTTTTTGTAAGTGTTATACCTAATTTTTTGGCATGCAAAAAACTACATTTTCATATTATATATCTTCTCTATAGTCATTACCCAAAATCATTTTTTTTAATATTATATATTTCCTCTCTCATTCATTAATTTATAATAAACTATTAATCTCACTATCTTTCATTTACAATTCTTTAATACTCCAACTACCCACTTACATGTTATTTATTTAAGTCAATAAAATTGCCTAAAACTATGTGTTGGTCAAAGTAACCTTAAAAAAATAGATGGGAGTATATTGACATGTGCTCATAGAGTCATAGTCACTCGATAGACAAGTTTTTATTAATAAAGCTAAACTAGCAATATGATATATTACTCCCTCTGTTTATTTTACCTTCCCATTTATTGGAATAAATATTAGCGCATAGCACTTATGTGCTTAGAAAGTGTATAGGATGACACTGGTTTTCTAGTGGTATAATTCAAAGTACAAAACGTACATACCACTTTGATTAAATGTATCAATGTGATTTCAGTGGTACATTTTCGGAGTATCAAATGTACCACTAGCACAGTTAAGTGGAATATTCAAGTTTTCTAACGCCTGGTAAATTACGCTTTTGCCCTTCTATACACTTCGTTTGTCAATAGGTGCTATGCGCTGATATGCACTCCATTTATTGTAGCCATTTGGAATGTAAAAAAGTGAGAGTTAGTAGAAAGTGGGTCCCTTTATACTTTTTGGGTAGGAAAAAGAAAATTATTTAGAGACATTGGTATTGTTATATCTGTATAATGTACTCCATTGGTCTCTATTTTTTTTGCCTCGTTGTCAAAATGTGGGTCAAACTTTTTAAACTTGGACCTTGAATTCCCGTTGTTCTACAAATGAAAATATAAACATGTGAGATCTTGTTTGGTTCGTCTCATTGTGAATTAATTAATATTAAGTTTTTTTATGCGTATGAAAATGGAGAAATAAACGTTTTATCACATGTTTTGAAGACCGCGCAAAATCAAATGGGCAAGAATAAAGGGATAAAGGGAGTATATTGTAATGTGGACAATGTTATGGGATAAAGTGAGTATTTTTCTTTATTATAAAGTAAAAGGAACAAAGTAAAGTATGTAAGAAGGTTAAAAAAAATTAATAAATATATTAAAACAAAAAGTAGAAAGATAAAAAACCAATGTTTATTTATTTTTGTAAAATCTTTCTATGTATATATTAAATTTGTATTGATGTGTATATGTCAAAATTTTATTTTATTTTCATCATAGGGTTCATTATTCACCACGTATTTACTTTATTTTCTATAAGGTTTTCATTTCATTTGAAGGCATAGCAGTTGGAATGTATTTATTTTTGTTACATAACATGTGCTCATATATACGTGATTAATGGAAAAATCATTTTATGTAGCGCTGTATAAATAAAGCTAGACTAACTTTAGGATACTCTAGCTAGATTTGTATTAATGTGGATTAGTCAAATCACACACACACAAAAAGGGAAAGAAAAAAAAAAATTCTAATCAGCTCAGTAAAAATAAATTCGGATTTGATAAAAAATACGAAATAAATATAGATTAGATTATATAATTATAAAGTAAAAATGTGTCTCAAAAAAAAAAAAACAAAAAAATTAAAGTAAAAATAAACACATTCCTATTGTTTTTTTGAACACAAAAGTGACAAACATTCTTACCATCGCGCCGCACTGCCACTCCTCCCCTTCCTACACCACACTACACAGTACACACTCACTTTAATGGTGCCACCACCCCTCACACCACCTTCCCTACGGCAGAAGATCCGCCCCCTTCCTACCATCGCGCTGCCGCCTCTCCTTCTTCCTTCCTTCTGTAATTATTTTATCACAATCACCATTGTTATATTTGAGGTTTAAAGGATAAAATTAGGCCTCTTTTTTTATATATAAGATGTATAATACTCCCGCGTTTAATAAGTGTTTCGCTTGATTTTCTCAAAGGTTTAGAATAAAGAGATGAATGTACTAATTGATATTCAAGCAAAACATGCTGAAAACACAAAAAGAATTTATTAAAGTATTAATAGGTTATTGTAGAGAAGAGAGAGAGAGAATGGAAATTTTTAAAAAATGAAATCAAGTCAGGGACCGGGGAAAAAAGTATTACAGTATTGTTACTATCTCCCAAAATATAGAAATGCTTATTCAAAAAAAGGCCGGAAAAAATAAATAAAAATAGAGCACATATCTAAAGATAAAGGGAGTATCTAAACCTTCTAATATGATAAATAGGGCACATATTTAAAAATAGAGGAAGTATCTAAACTTCTAAATTAAAAAAAAAAAAAAAAAAAAAAAAGAAAGAAAGAAAAAAAGAAAGAAATGTTAACATAAGCTCAAGTCTCTCTATTGGGTTTAGAATGGATTTAAAATGCATTCAAAACAATTCAAGAAGTTCAACAAACAATACCTAATTTTATAAGTTCAATTACCAAGATTGTTCACGAGTAGTTCATGAACGTATTTACGCCTCCTAAATACTTGATGTTAGACTTCACGAGTCGATGTTTATCAGCTTAATCATTTGTTCCAGGTGGTGATTGACAATGGAATTTTGCAACTCACAATTGCAAATCCAGAAGGCTATTTGATAGGAGTTAGCTACAGTGGAGTGCACAATGTGCTTGAAAATCGTAACCACGAATCAAATAGAGGGTATGCACCACTTGTATTGCTCTCAATTACAAAAAAACACTTAATTACTCTGTCCAGAGTTGATTTAGTCTACTCGATTCCGAATGGACGGAGTATTATTAATAAATCTATCTATCTGCTTTGTAATTACATTATTTCCTACGTTGTACAAAATGTAAGATTTTAAATTTAATGCTAATGCTAATGTTTTCGTATATAGGTACTGGGATGTAGTTTGGGATACAAAAGGTTACTCTGGCACTGACTGGTAAATCGTGAACTTAACTGTAATATTTTCTCTTCATATACATCAAATTTTTAAGGAAATATCTTATATAAACTACGGTACTTCAGGTTACTCGGATCAAAATTTAATGTGATAGTAGAAAATGAGGATCAAGTAGAAGTTTCATTTACATATGAATGGGATTCAACTACATGGAATAAATCAGAAGTTTGGAGAATTCCTGCTAATGTAGACAGAAGGTATAGATAATTAGATATGATCTAACGAACAACTAGTACACAATTTCTTTGAAATTTGACAAATTGATGCATGATATATGTATGCAAATTAATTATCAGGTATATAGTGCTTCGAGGATCCTCCGGGTTCTATGCATATGCAATTTTGGACCGCGAGGAAGGAATGCCTGCAGCAAATATCTTCCAAATCAGGACTGTTTATAAGCTTGATCAATCAAGGTATTAATACACATCACTTGCACTGAATTTCAATGCATTAGTATAAAAAAAGCATAAACAGCTACAAAGTAGATATGTAGCTTGACTAATTGGATTTGCTTAATCTGACAGTTATTTTGAATGATGGCGAGTATGATGAATTTTAGTGCTTTGGAATATGTTTTACAGGTTTCATTATATGGCTATCTCTGATGATAGGCAACGGATCATGCCTATGCCAGAGGATCGCGAAAACGGCCTGCCCCTTGCCTTTAAGGAGGCTGTGCTTTTGACCAATCCCACTAATCCAGATTTGAGAGGCGAGGTATTTGAAGGAAATTGCCATTATAGCTTTTGTAGTTTCTCTGTTTTCCAGATTTTTAACATTATCTCTGTTGTGAAACGTTTATATGTTTTGACCATCAAATTCCATCAATAGTTGCCATACGAAAAATGAAAATAACAATATATTACCAACTTTTTACTCTTTAAGGTATATCTAGTGACTAGTTTGAGTATTTTACATACACTTTCAGGTTCATAGTCTAACCCACGAAATATAATGTGGCCTAATATCTCGAATTTGTCTAGAATTGGTTATAAGATAAATACTTGCTAAGACCAGCTAATGTAATGTCTGACAAATGAACATCAGGTGGATGATAAGTACCAGTACTCATGTGAGGATAAGGACAATAAGGTGCATGGTTGGATATCATTTGATCCACAAGTTGGGTTCTGGATTATTACTCCGAGCAATGAGTTTCGTTCTGCAGGACCTGTCAAGCAAGATCTCACAACCCATGTCGGTCCAACTTCATTAGCTGTGAGTATCTTTTATCAGTAATTCGATATCATAACGGAGAATTTAACCCTGGATAAACTTTGAGTTACATCAATAAGATATTAAATTTCTCCGTAACAGATGTTTCACAGTGCACACTATGCTGGTTATGATGTGACCATGTCGTTCCAAGAAGGGGAACCATGGAAAAAGGTGTTTGGGCCTTATTACGTTCATCTGAATTCGGTTTCTTTAGACAGAGATTTCCATGAACTCTGGGATGATGCAAAGCACCAGGTAAATACTGTATTCATCTCTGTTTTTGGTGTTTATATATTACTGTCTTTAAATGCGGATTTTTGAAGCAGATGACACAAGAAACTAGAAGCTGGCCTTATGAATTCCCATCATCAAAAGACTTCCCTAAGTCTGTTGAGCGCGGTTTTGTGTTTGGTCGGTTGCTAATCCATGAAAGGTTTGTCTCATTTAGCTATTTCTTTTTGTTTCAATTGTTATCACAAATATTTTTACATTGATTTCATATGATTATTGTAATATCATTCCTTATCCTAGGTATAAAATGAGGACAATGATGGCTGGGAGTTATGCTTGGATTGGACTTGCTGCGCCTGGTGAAGCAGGATCTTGGCAAACCGAAACAAAGGTAGAAATTTGAACAAGGAATTACCAATTGCTTAACTTTTTATGAATCATCAATGTAGAAAATTGAAATAGAAATAATTGTGAATTATTCTTAACAGGGTTATCAGTTTTGGACTCGAGCAGATCGTAATGGAGGTTTCATAATCAAGGGAATTCGTGAAGGTGTATACAACTTGTTTGCATGGGTTCCTGGTTTCATTGGAGATTATGTATATGTTGAAGACATCAGAATTGTTCCAGGTGTTTTAACTATGACTTTTGATCCTATGGATGCCAACTAGCTTATTTGGTTAAATGCTTTACCAATTTGGATCAAATTCTGTCCAAAAAATTTGGATGAGTAGATAATGATTGAGATTTCTTTTTCTCAACACCAGGTTCCGTAATCCAGTTAGGTGATCTTGTGTACGAGCCACTGAGAAATGGACCGACATTTTGGCAAATAGGCTTTCCAGACCGCACTGCATTGGAGTTTTATGTTCCTCAGCCAAATAGCTTATTTGTAAACAAACTTTACACCGATAGTGATCATAACAAGTAAGCTCTTCAATTGCTACTCATATATCCAAGTTACCTCTATCAATATCTCGAAAGCTCATTCACTTATAAAGGATATTTCTGATTTGACAGATTCAGGCAATATGGTCTTTGGGAAAGATATGCTGAATTGTATCCTGACAACGATCTCATATACACCGTTGGTGAAAGTGATTTTCATACAGACTGGTTTTTCGCCCAGGTCACTAGGTAAATCATTCAGCTTGATCACTTTGAACATGTTGGTTTTGGTTGTTTTGGATAGAAATTTAACATATACGTCTACAAATTGCAGGAGAACAGGAAATAATACATTTAAACCTACTACATGGCAGATTATATTTGCGCTTCAAGATGTGATCCCATCCTCAAACTATACTCTACGAATTGCTTTGGCTTCAACCACTAGAGCAGAATTGCAAGTAGGAATAAACAACCGCCTTTTACTTTTCTGTATATGCTAACACAAGTTGGTCTTGCCATATTAACACCGATTTTATGGTTTTCTAGGTACGATTCAACGATCCAGAGGTGAGCATTCCCCATTTTACAACCATGGTAATGGGAACAGATAATGCGATTGCTAGACATGGTATCCATGGGTTGTACAGACTATTAAATGTTGATGTTCCAAGCGAATGGCTACGTGCTGGGAACAATACCATATATCTGAAGCAAGCTAAACATGAATCTCCTTTCTTCGGTGTCATGTATGATTATATTCGTTTCGAAGGTCCCCCTCGAACAACGTGATTTAAGATTTTACAAGGTCTATAGATTGAATACGGTCAATTACTCACTGATCATGTTCCACATTGTAATCAATATGTATGATTAGTTTAGTTATGTATTTATCTATTTTACGTGGTAGCTACTAGCTAGGGGTATATTGATGGAAAAGGCATTTACATAGCCTAGAATTTGTATATATAGTTTATTAACTAGCTAGCATACTAGAGCTTAAATAAAATGGTCATGACATGTCTTATTCCAAAATTTGGCCTAACTACAGCCTGCAAATTTGTAGTGGAATTGAAAAACCAAACAATAAACAAGATAATATAAGCAAATTAAAGTTGTAAAAAATAAAATAAAAGCCGTTTTAATATAGTATAAAACTACTTCACTAGAGTGATTTTAAATCCATCAATAATTTATAGGGTTACAATGATAGTCCTAATATATTAGGTAACTAACATAAATACATAATATTCTCTATCACAATGGTAAACAAAAATTCTACCTGGAAATTCTTCACAAACTAGTAGGGAAAATCGTAAAATGTAACTAATCAATTAGCAATTACTAGATTTAAAGCCGTGGTTATTCATAGTTAAACTTAACATTTAATATTTAATCGAAATAACAAAATATTAATACATAATATTACTATTTTTTTTAATCTTATACAATTAAGGTTCAAACATATACAAACAAATTTTAAATCTTCCAGGCTTCCGTCATCCTTTGTAAATCAATCGTTGATCGTGTTGCGGAATTAAACCCGCCCCCTTGAATTGCAAAATTAATTCTTAATTATGATCATTGTTCATCACATTCAAGAGTTTCATGGTGTTCGAATTCTAAAATATGCTTCTTTGCCTGCAAAAGTTTTACGTTTATTTGCGTGGAACATTAGATGAGTTTATATAGGATTGAAAAAATACTGGATTTAAAGTGGTGATATAGTTTATTAGATATCATAAATTTTATTAACGTGGAACTTAATCTTTTAGCTGAATAAATGATAAATGATGCAATGTATTTTGTGGGCGGCTTGCCACTACACCATTTGGCCACTTGTAAAGAACAAATTAACCTCTATAACACAAACTGAGTAACCCCTGCAATATTGATCAAGTAACCCCTATAACATTGAACGAGTAACCCCAATAACATTGACTTAGTAACTCCTGTAACACTGATCAAGTAACTCTTATACCAGTAAAGAAGTAACCCCTATGATGATTGGTCACACGGTGTGGCCAGCCATATATAAAAGTTTGTGTAAATGATGAACATTCTTTTTATTTTTTTTTGCTCGAAAAAGGGAAGATATATTTTTAGTTTCAATGATTTTTTTCTTATTTTTTGTATCTATTCCAAAACTGATATTTTTTTTAGTTGAACGTGATTTCATATATTTTTTATTAGCACTTTTTTTTTTAAAAAATCTATTAACCTATACTAAAAGCAAATCTTTCCATGACACTTGTCATTACCTTGTGAAAAATTTTCCTGCCTTTTTGGCTTTATTTTTTTTTATTTTTATTTATTTTTTTTCCAAAATCTTTAAGTAAACTACTTATAACTTTTGATATTTTCTTTCCAGTTTGACAATCATGTTCCATATATACCTAAATGAAATATTTCAGAATATCTTTTATATACTTTATGTCGTATTTTGTAATATTTTGATGTATGTATGTGATCGAAAAGCGCGCATGAATATCAATAAGAATTAAGTAGAGGCCTATTTAGGGAAGGTTTGGCTTCTCTGAGGTCAAATTTGTACCATCATCCCCAAACATTCACTCAAGGTTCCGAACCATTATGGAGTTAGCAATCTCTGTGATTGTAAATGGGGTGTAACCTTCACAATTGTGAACGGTTTACAAGTTCCTAAAACTTGTTGGCGACTCTTTCCTCTATCTTCTTTTCCTTGGTACGCCGCCATGCTTAAACACATGACCCACGTGTAAGGCGGAGTGAAAAACTCCCTACACTATTAAACTTAAAAAAATGAAATTCACGTTCAATTGATTTAAAAAAAAAAAAATTGGATTAGATAAAAAAAATTAATGAATATGAGAAGTGATTGTAATAAACTAGGTTAAAATCCCGTGCAATGCACAGTTGTTAAATATTTTAAACTCAAATTATCACCAATGTTAGATTTGATTGTGCATTATTTAAACTCAAATGATCACCAATGTTGGTTGATTATTAATGCACAATCAAATCTAACATGGTGATCATTTGAGTTTAAATAATATTAAGCCTAAATCCAATTATTAATTATCTTATTAGGCGTGATTTCAAGTACAAATTCCTTTTAATCCTGCAAAATAGAGCGTGATCAAGTAATAGCAATAAATCATAAATAATCAAGCAATATATGATCAATATAACAATCATCATCATAAGAATATTGCCAAAACATCGTTAGTAGCAAGATCCTAGGCATGATATTGAATGAATTAATATCGATCCTAGCATATCACTATTAACAAAATAAACACATTATCCTAAACATGATACTAGAGATCAAAAACATTATCCTAAACATGATTTCTATTCCAAATCAAAATAATAATTAAATTACTTACTTTAAATTTGATGCCTCGACCTTCTTGTTATTAAAACAATACACACGTTAGTAAACTTCAAGAAAGTTAAATCAATAAAGTGAATAAATCAAATATTAATTGAAATGGAGATTTGGGATCAAACCCTCAGAACTATCAACCTTTCACGTCGAGGTCGAAGGCAACATCGAGTATAGTTTAGAGTATTTGAATCACGCAAAGGAAGTATTGTGAATGATTTGGATGAATCAAAGAGGTGTTTAGGCTAAGGCGAAGATCATAGGTGTTGAAGAATAATGATAGATAGTTGTGGCTAGGAATTCTTGATGATTGTGGCTAATTATGGCTGATTCCAACTGATTTTGAAAATGGGGAAAACGACCTCTATTTATAAAAGGAAAAAGAGAGTCAAAACGATTAGAAAAAAAATCAGAATTTGGAATAAAATAAACTGCTTGTGACGCGACGCGACAGGATCGCGCCGCGTTGAACATTGTCGAGCCGTGTCAGGACTGTAGCGGTGTGATGGTCCTGGCGTTGCACGAGGTTCATAAGGTAATCTAGTTTTGTACGGAGTTTGATTTCTGATTGGTTTTTATGCAAAATATATCCGAACGTATTTGAATTCGAATAGAACAAGGATTACCATTTGAGAAGTTTTATTCAATCTCGAACTTATTCGATCTTTTTGGAAAGGATAGATTAGAACCTTATAGAGGATTCTAGAGGATCTTAACTAATTTAGGATTGGGAGTATGATCATATAGGGCCTAAATAAAGTATTTGGACTCCATATAATCATTGAATCGTATTAAAAGTGGTCCTAGGCTTGGTTTGGGCTCGGTTTAGTATTTTTTGCCATAACTCATTCGTTTTAAGTAGGATTTGGGCTTATAATATATAGTTGGAAAGCTCTTTTCAATACCCATCCAACTAAATAATAATCGGGCTGGGAACATGGACCAAAATAATCAGGTTTGGACGTTTTTATAATTTGGACACGAAATGAATGACTTTGGATTAAAACATTTTAGGTAAGGTTAGGAATATGGTCAAGGCTTAAGGAAACTTCACGTGACTCTTCAACTCCTTACCAAACTCGTCAATCAAAACGTGAAAGGTACTCATCACTGGGTTTGGTTTTTTGAGAAGACACAATCAGGTGTCTATGGAAGCCCCAACTTTGATTGAGTTTGGAGAAATGTAAGTTTCGAAAACGCTAGTCAAAGTAAGTTGAAAGGGATGTAGAATGATTTTGAATGTACTTTGGGTTAGTGTGTATATACATATGTACAAGAATCAAGTCAAGACAAAGGGTTAGTCAAGCTATGCACAAGTAAGATATGCACACATAGTTAAGTAGTCACAACACGATTCAATGGTTTTCATAAAAAGGTAGGCTTTCTAATGCGCACCTTTTTATGCTTATGCCGTAATGTTAATCAAAATTACGCGCATGAACATCAAAAATTAGGTTAGGCTAAAGGTTGAAGAAGGGATAAAGGCTCAAGACCCAAAATAGGCCCCAAGGTGTGCAACCTTTTATTTGAACTGGTATTTGTATGCTTGAGATTTCTCACTTTTGAACTTGTTTTCTTTTGATTTTGCATTTTAGATTTGTATTTAAATCTTCTTTGGATTAGTGTGAGCAATTTTGATCATGCGGTTTATCACTCACTTTGCATTCATGTTTCCCAAGCATAGTGCCAAGCACTCCATAAGAGATGCAATCCGAGACATGTTCATATCAAAGACATTGGAACACTTTCCCTTTTGCACACTTTTATTGCTTTTTGAACTTTTGAAATTCTGGAACTTTGGTAAAAATCACCCAAGCTTTTGCCTTTGCATTTGAAAATTGCTTAAGTTGCACACCATCCTATCCCAAGGTTAGGATGTGGGTTGAAGAAAGAAATGTTAATCGTTAGACGAGCCTCAAAGTGGTTGATCAAAAGAGATTGTATATTTGAAAGAGTAAATGTGATATAATGTGGCTACAAGGGGTGCCTCAAATCATTGGTATACCTTGTGCTTAGTTCAGCGTGGATTTTTTTTTTATTATTTTTTCAAATGAAATGCAATGCAATGATCATATGCAAGGAAATAAATGCTCATTTTATTAAAATGGAAAGGGTAAAAACAAACTCATGAAGTAAATTAAGAAAAATGATGGAGGGGCGCCTATGCTAGAGTAATTGAGGGAAAGGGAAAACAAAAATAAGAAAAGAATCATGAAATCTTTGTCATTGGAACCTGCTTCGCGCTTTGTGTTTTCCTTGACCAAAGGTTCTAGAAAAGGAAACCATGGACACTTGTTGTCAATCACATGACTTGAACTCGATTCAACATGCATAGATAATGGAATTCCCAAAAAAACGTGATGTATAAGGGAGAATGATATGCATGGGGAAAGCATGTAAGAGGAGAATATGCATGGAGGTATATATGTATAGGGAAAGTATGTGAATGTGGAAAGTGATTAAGAAGGAAAGTGTGAGGTATGTAATGTATGGAAAGTGATGTAAAGGGAAAAGATGTATTCGTGGAAGGATATGGGAATTTCTAGGAATAGGATGGACCCTCAACTCAAATGACGGAAAGGATGACTCATGCATGGACCTAAGACATGATCATGGAGTGAAAAAAGATATGTACAAGGTGTGTGGAAAGACTCGTGAGT